AACTCCAAAATTGTAGGCAGCTACACCACCTAACTAAATAAATCAATTGTTTCTTTTTAATTTATCGTGAAGATTGATGACTAAATCGAGATACTTAAATTTGAATATAGACATTTCTTCAATAAATAAGTGTAGAGAAATAACCCCATTGAGATTAAAATGAGAGAAGGGATCAATTTATATGTATCTCTCTCAGAAAAAAAATAAATTTTGTAAGAAGTGCAGAATTTTCTTGTGTGGTTTAAATTTGCATGTATATATTTCATATTCATTCAATATTTCTGTATAAATTATTATACTTTCAAGTAAATTGGTTGAATCTGATTTGTCGAGAAGCATTAATACCCGCTGATTATTAAAGACACGCCCTCCAGCGTAACAACAGTTGACATTGCTTCACGGCGGTAATGGATATACACAACCGGAAAATTAACATTTTATATATTGCAATGTATACATCAAATTAATGTATTTTGTGATTATTTCCATCCTCCATCCAATTGGGATTTTTGGATTCTGTCCTCAAACAGAACAACGAAATCGGCTTCGGTTCCTTTATTATAGGAAAGATGAAGGGAAACAATTTGACTGTTCGCAAACCCTCTCCATTTTTTCCTCAGCAAATCATGTGCAATTATACTTACTCTGTTTATCACACAGACACTTGTTTCGGAAATTTTCTTTTAACCCATAGTATAATAATAACACAAGTCATGTACTTATTAATTAATGGTAATATTAGCAAATCATCAATATCATAATATACGTGTAATTACAGGCACATGTATATATAACCATTTGGTAAGTTTTGGTATCAGGTTATGTATTTATAAAATTTATCGTAAAAGAAACAAATCAATTGATCATTAACATCATAATATCATAATGTAATTACATGTACATACAACCTTGTACTAGTATACAGTGTAATATGGACAATATTTTGGAAATTCACTATTTTCTCTCGAAATTCTGCAGTTTAAGATTTAGTAAGAAAACAAAGAAACGACAGTGTGTTCTTCATTTTTTATTGCCAGTTAAATAGAATTCCAAAATAGTACGATTCTCAGTTAACCTTGGATTTTCAGTAGTGCGTGGCTTTTTAGACACTACCTAATTAACGTTTCTCAAATGGCGAATAGATTCTCATTGGTTAAGAAATTAATAACATCAGCAACTTTAAAATGTTGTTGACAACGATGAGACGACTTAAGGTAGAACCTATGTCGGAGAAGTCCTTGTCACAAGATTTTCAAACTTTTCATAATGATAAATTAGCACCCGCTTATTAATCAGTCAAAAGCTCATGACATGTTTCCTTCTTATTAAATACAGTGCAGGCAGTTAAACATGGAATGATAATTACATATTACGACTTCACAATTTCAGTCATTTTCAGGGGTACTTGTCATGCAAAGAAGACAAAAAATAAAAAAATACTTCTTTAAACATCGTTGTTTTATTGTTTATTAATTGAACAGTATCAAACAATATTTCCCGAGAATAAATTCTTTTTTATTCAATTGACATAAAAGATAAGTCCACTTTTTAAAAACTATAGGCAAATGAACTCTATTTATTTTCAGTCAATTTTCCACCCTACATTTGTAAATATTTTCAGAAGTCTTTGTCACAATGTTTTCAATTTTCAATATGATAAAGAACATACCCAAATGACTACAAAAAGTGATTAAAATATATACCTTTCCCTTATAACTAATGAGAGATAGGTAATTTACCGATCCTAATATTCTTGACCTTTTTGCACTTACACGGGATTTAATTATTAAATGACTGTTTGGGTTACTTTCAGATTAAAAAAGTTTATCAAAAATTGTACTTTTAATTTAAAACGATCATATGTAATAGAAAAATTGTAAATTTGTAATCAATTGTAATCAAACTCCAAGAATGAGTAACATATAATGATGAAGAGGAATGCACATAATTTCATGATCGATATCACAAAATGTACACACGATCTACAACACGTACATCTTTGACTTAGACACATTTCATCAACATATTACAACTAATTAGTTGGCAACTGAAGATTTTTTTTAGGATTTTTGCATTCCTTCAAAATAGTTACATGTACATACCATTTACTTTATAATGTAGGTAAGTTGTTTACATTGTTATTTCATTACACAAGATGGTCTTGGATTTGTTAAGTTAATTAAGGTGCAAAATATATGAATTGAAAGGTGCCTACAGGTTTCTCTAATTCAAGAAACATATTTCATTAAGTATTATAACAAAAAAAATTGAATTAAGATTATTTAAGTAATAAATTTAAATTGAATTTCTGTGAATATATTTTCTACCATTTCTATTGAAGCTGTAAAGTACGGGAAAAAGTGACATTGAATCAATTATGACGTCATAATGGATCTAGCACAGGCTAAACACATTCACTAGTTTTGATGTCATACGACGTAGGTTCTACGTTAAGCCCCATCTCTCTGCCATTCGAAATGTTATCATTGGATCATAGATACACTCATTGACATTCGCCGGAATGTATGAAGGATATGGAGATAACGAACAGTATTCAATATCAAAGTCCATAAAACAATACAAAATAGGAGCAGAGCTAATACGGACCCCCAAATCATCAGAGGTGGGATCAGGTACCATGGAGGAGTGAGCATCCCCTGCCGACCGGTCACACCCGTCGTGTACTCCTTGTCATGATCGGGAAATAAAGGAAAAATCCGTCGTCAATTCAGTGTATAAATAATGGACTAAAAATTAGTATGAAAAACGTCAGTCAGCATTTGACTCTGAAGTGATAAATTGTATTTGCTGACAAGGTCATAGAATCGATCATAGAACTTAAGAAAGGATTACTTTAAACGAGTCTGCTGAAAGTCTTGTTTCATCAACTTGTTTGTCAATAATTTACCTCGTTTTAGAAATTGTTCATATACATGTAGAGCATGCTCTAGCGTATCGAATCTACTGAGATATGTAAACTCCGTATGCAGGTGATGAAGGTATATTAATGCATAGGTAAGGGAAGTTGACAATCGAAAAGTTAAAATCATCAGGTTTATCATAGAGTTTGGTTGTAAGATTACTATTAGTGTCTTTTTCAAGTAAAATATCCAAGTATGAAACAGATGTGTCAGACTCTGTGGTATCTTATATCTCAAGCTCACCAGGATATATCGTATCAATATAGGAATGGAAATTACCATTGTTAATTAAAAATAGTATACGTCGTCGATATATCTAAATGTCAAGTTGAAGGCCACAGGAAGTGTTTTCTTCTTTTCACGCATAAGATTTTGCAAAAATTCTGCTTCAAACAATATTTTATTGTTGAAAACGTAAAATATTGTTTGGAGCGGGAAAAAGGGCAGGTCCCTTACTGTCCCAATCCCACTCCTCCCCCCGATACCATGTGCCTTCGTGTGTTTGCCGCTCAAGAAGAGGGATGGAAATAATACAATTTGCAAGACTTTTTGTGGTCCAGAGGCTTATTACCTTTTTTATCTGTGTAAAATTATTACTAGAGTAAATGTCAAAAATTACTTCCAAACTCTCATTTTCTTATCATAATATTTCCTACATCGTTTCATTGATAGTTATATTCCCTTCCAAGAACGAAAGCTGAAAGGATACTTGCCCCTTCTTAGTTGTAACTGCAGTGTAGGTTTAATCATGTAAACTAGTAATGTACCGAGTATTGATAAAATTTGGTTGCAAAAAAAGTTAATAGTACAAAACATTGATTTTAATTAAAACATGATTGTGACGTAGACTTATTGTTTGTGTTGTCCATTCTGTAGCTTAGTGTTGAGCTAACTCCCCTAACAATCCATTAAGTCACCTGTAAAGTGTCCATTCATTTTGGAAAAGTGTCCATTCTTTTTAAAGAATGGGCGGTTTTTTTTTTAAAGAATGGAGAGTTGAAACAAACAGAATGGATAGTTACAGGTAAACCTTGGCATGTGCACAATAGGGATACAAAAACATTTACATTAAATACGATTAAATGTGCCTGTAAATAACAAAAAGAACTTGGAGATTTAAGTTAATCCAGAACAAAATGTCTGCATCGGATCTGTTTGATTTACACATTTAAATCCATGAATAATGAATATTATTTCAATGCTCAAAACTCATCCCCCCCCCCACAAAATTTGAATTTAAATGACACATATTCACATTTGATTAAGATTTTGGAAGCACCATTCCCATCAATCCATTTTAAGCTTGAAGTACTGTCCGCTTATATCAAATCCATTACTCAGAAAACAGTTTTCACCATGAAAACTACGCTAAATTTGAAATACATTTTCAGGTCGACGTTAGGCTCATGGCTATCCAACACTCGGAACACAATTTGCATTTCACCATTACACTGATGCAATTAATATATCCCCAAAAACTGAATTCAAATTTTAAAAAATCCGGTTTGAGGGATCGAAGTTTGGATAATTTTCTTTTACCCTTACTATTCTCTGGTCAAAATATCCCTTTTTTGTGCATTTGTTGGTTTCAATTCGATTTCCATTCTTTCATGATATATTCTCTCCATCTGAGGGAGACATGTTTACCTTTACAACACAAAATATAAACTGATTTTGAAAAGTTGCATTCTTATATAAATACCTGGCTTCCCCCGAAATCCACCTGTAATTGTCTGTTCTTTAGACAAATACCTTTTGTCACTCGCATCTGAAAACACAATTGCTATTGAACAAATTGCTATGCACCCCAAGCTTACCTGTAACCGCCCATTCTGTAAACAATGAATTTATTGTATGTGTGCCATCTGTTTTGCACATTTTTAAAAAAAATTCTCAGAACAAAGAGAATCATGTTTTAATTAGGAGAAAGGCCTCAAACTGTCCATTCTGTGAGAGAAAGAACAAATCTCGGGCCTACGGTCGTTTGGGGCCGTTCTCCTTTACAGAACTGATGCCTTCATTTAGCCTTTCAAATATCCGACGATATTAAAAAATAAACAACCAATGAATAAATCTTAGTTTTATTGACAGAATAAGATTTGAAGACGGGTATTTGACAAAACAATTTACAAAAACAATGGACGGAATGCTTATAATAGTCATAAATTCAATTTCAAAATCAAATCAGAAGATCGACAATAGTTATGATTTTTCATTATCCTTTGGTTACTTCCTACCATACTTCATGGTTGATAAGGTACTGGGCCATAGCCATGACGTCATTACTGTAATAAAAAGTCATCTGTGAGAAGAAGGTAACCAAAAATGGTACTTAGCGAATTAAAAAAATGGAGCAAATCTCCCCATTATTTCCACCATATAAGACATGCTTATATTGTACCCTCTTTGTTTATTTAAACATATAAAACTGATCTGTTATGACATTAATTTAAGAACCCTCTCTACACACTATACACTAAAGAGTTCTGATTCTATGGTATCTCTGCAGTTAGAGTGATATGCCCTTCTGAATTGTAAAAAAATAATTTACAGTATATTACTCAATTTGTCATCGATTGAAATATTCGAAACATTTTAAAAGGCCAAGATAGATAAATTGATCATATTATTTACATATATTATCTCTATGGAAGTAAACAGTGATTTCTATTCACTGATACTGTGTTGTGTTTGAACAATTTTCCTGAATGTGAATGCCACGTACCATATATTGAAAATTAAATCTCGGCTTGACCTAGATCAGGTGCCCATATTAGTTGCAGTTTAACCAAAAAAAAGTCAAATGAATAGTATTACAAGTATGTTCTATGTAACACTACATTCCTTTGGCAGATTGTCTGAAATGTTTGTTCATTTCTGTTAAGAGGTTTAAAAGATTCCACTCTTACTATAACAGAGACCCAAGTGGGCTACAGACTATACATATTCAGGCATAACATTTATCTGTATCATATTCAACTGAACACAAATGTATACATGTAAATCAGATCAAAATTTTATCCGAGCCAAAAAAATTACGTTCTACGTAAGTCATTTCCATCGAAAATGTTACAGTATATAAAAGACATGGGTTAATCTGTTAATCTTTGAGAGTTTTTCTACTCTTGATATTTGGAGACTTGAAAAAAAAGTACTTTCAATTTTTCTAAAGAAACTGTATATGGGAAAGAGAATTTCAAACTTACTTGGTAATACTCAGAGAAAAACTATGTCAGGTATTTTTGATTGACTATTTTGAGACTCTGGGTTACGGGCTATACATAGAGTATTTTTCATTTAAGGAGAAACCAAAGAAATTATAATCACTTGTATCTGTTATTTTTTGTTAAAATTATCATCTTGGAGTTCACATGTGTTTAAAAGACCGTATCAGTTGGATATTAAATCAATTGATAAAAAAATCCTGTGAAATTTGACAAAATAAACTAACATTTCATATAAATACCCAATACGATTAAAAATGAATTTTCAGAATAAAATAATACAAGTCAGAACTACATGTAATTGGTGTTTGATAACAAAATATTGTCTAAAAACCATTGTCTAAGACCAAGAATGAACTTTAATTCAGCATGAAGTAAAAAAACTATAATATTACAATATTTATCCAAAAAGAATCAATGTTTTTTTAAAAATTTTAAATTAACAATTCAGTGACAAGTATGTTGGGTGGTGCAATTACTTAGAGTGAAGGTCTTTGAACTAAGTTGATCCTTATGTTTTGGGATTAATTCCCACTATAGGATGTGATGACTGGTTGATGAAAACTAATAAACCATTGAACCATATTTTGCAGTAACGCAGCCAGGAAAAAAATCTCTTGCTGATAAAGACGTATGGTTTTGTGGTCTGTAAATTTGCTCAATTTATTTGAAGAGTATGTAGCCCTTTTGTAAGTAAGATTTGTGTGGTCAAATATTTTTTTTTAAAAAGATGTAAGTAAAATAATCTTTTTACACGAATTATATTTGCTTTTTTCTGCTAGAAATTATGAATTTGTTCAAACATTGATAAATCTTTAATTATATAACAAAGATATATCTGTACACATTTATTCATAATTTCCAGAATTGTTATCCTTTTCTATAAAAAATAAACTTAATCAGAGTGATGTCTCTATAATAAACTACATCTTTTTTTAGAATGTTTCATTTAAAATAATGTTAATCAAGCATTTGTTAAAATGTAAAAAATCAAGTGCAACAGCATAACGCTTCAAAAATTATGAAACTGAGGCTTTATTCCGTTGTTTATTTTTCAAAGATTCATGTACTGTATATATAATATAATACACCAATGGAAAGCTCCCAATATGCTCTTTGAAATGCAACTAAAGACATTTAGATTAATTGTAATGTTAAAGAGTTACGTCTATAAATCATTATATAAGGAAATGGGCACCTTATCTTTGCCAAGCCGCTCAGGGTAAGCTCAATATTAACACCTTTATACAATATATTTTTCTCACTGTCCAAAAACATTTTATACTGGTTTTGAAGGTTATCTTATTGTAGAAAGTTAGACATTTCTCAGAGGCCATAAAATAAAATTTTATTTTTCTCACTGCTGTGCTTGCTATAAAACTGATAAATCTCTTACCGGATTTGGAAGACAACATTGACGAGTTGATCTTCCAGCACACAGATTTTTCTGAAATCGTCCATTATCGCAGCCGACTGAAGTTTCCTTGCATTGCCCTTCTTGGTCTGTGCATTTTGAATCGCCTTTCACCGTCTTCGATGTTTGCTTTAAATTCACTGAGAAAACATAATAAATATCCTTTTGCTTTTTGATTCACTTGATATCCTTATATATAAGTTAAACTGTAGTAGTTCATAGCGATTTTGTAAAAAGAGAAAACTAAAATAATGCCTTAATAGACGATAAATACCAAACTAGAGAAGAATTTAAAATTGACGACAGCAGTTATTTTCTTTTTATGCCCTTTAAATCGAAGATGTGGGGTTATATAGTTTTCTGTCCTGTCCGTCCGTCTGTCTGGCTGCAAATTAGGAACTCTCTAGTAAAGAGAAGATAACTTTTGACATTAGCCAATGAGAAATAAGTTTGCTAATTAGGATAGTTAGGTATAAAAGCTCTGTCTTTTCAGAGCAATAATACAATTGTAGTCAGTAGGTCAGTTGCAAGGAAGTTAAGGTGCCGAGGGAAACTTAAGATAAGCTGAGACAGGGATTAGAAGTGACTGAACACGTCCTACCTTCCCTATCTTACATTTAGTTAGCTTTTCATAAATTAAGTACACTTAGTTGATAAATAATTATAAGTAATCCAGCATTGAGACGCACCTGAGACTGCGATAGAGCTAAATTGAGATTTAAAACTGAGATTCTAATTTTAGCCCTTCTAGTTCTACATAGTTTATTTTTGTTATTTTTTTATATCTCTTTGTAAGGTTCTTAGAAGTTATCTGAGCTTTCCCATAAATCACTTTTTGACCAAGTAGCTCAGTCTAAATTGAGAAATAATATTTTTGATTATTGTTGTAACATCGGTTACACAATACCACCAAAATTTGACCTTTTGACCTTGACCCAACTTTACACAAAATTACACCTTACACCTTTACACCTAAATTCGACCTTGGTCATAACATTTGAATAGTTAAAGAAAACGCTTTCATACTTGTATTATTGTGAAAAATCTTTCAATACCTTTTGACCTTGACCTTAGAGTTTGACCCATTTGGAAAAAAAACCTAGGGCTTCCATATTTCACAGGTGTATATCTTGTGACAAGACCTTCGTTCAGATACCAACAATTTTGATCTTCACACTGGAGTTTGACATGCATATGAGAAGGTTCAACCTTTTTTGATTATAATTTTAGAGATTTAAAAAAATTAGTTGCTGGGTCTTGTTTCCAAACGTTCTTTTGCTAAAACTTCAATGGTTGCTGATATATATATATATATATATATATATATATATATATATATATATATATATATATATATATATATATATATATATATATTGTTCGTCGTGTCGTTGGTCATTTTTAGTGCTTTATATAAATTTCCATCCGTGACCTTCTATCTACTTGGTAGATCCGACATTTAGGATATACAGTGTTGTTGGTTTTTAGTGCTTCATATATATATATATGTATTGAAGATTATTTAAATTAAAGAGGTGATTTTTTTTATTTACAACACTGACTTATCTGGCAGTGAACGTGTGTCCCTCCATGGTGCCACCCGTTAGCTGTTTTGCAGGCCTTAGTGTAGGCTTCCTCTTGGTTTTTGTCCCTTTTGTCTGTTCCTGCTATTTTGTTCAGTTGTAAATCGACTGCCATTCCGCTGTAGTGTAATGACGTACTAGTGTGGCAAGAACCCGCGAGAGAGTTTATCTGTATCGGAATAAATAAATAAACAAGATAAGTTTGTTAAACACTGATGTTCCCGTATGGCAAATTATAGCGAAGATTAAACTTTCTCAAATTCAAATCAATATGTTGATACCCAAAGTATTTAGTAAGGTCTCTTCACAAAAATTATATTTGTGAAGTATGAAAGCAACACCTATTCAAGAGTTATGGGTAAAGTTTTAAAAAAGGTCAAACACCTAAGTCAATGTCAAAGTTATTAGTTTCTAAAGGAAAGTTTTGTTACAAGGATTCCAAATGAGAAATACCTAAGCCCTAGTCTTATCTATTCAAAAGTTATGGTAAAGGTTAAAGTAAAAAAAAAATCCGAACTCTAAGGTCAAGATCAAAAGGTTAAATTTGTTGGTATCAAGAAATTTCTTGTCACAACAATTACATATGTAAAGTATGAAAGCCCTGGACCTAACGGTTGAAAAATAACAGCTAATGTTAAAGTTTTTTGAAAGTAGGTCAAACTCCAAGATAAATTGCAAAGGGTCAGTTAAACTCCAAGGTAAAGTGCAAAGGGTCAAAGTTGTTGGTATCTAAAGAAAGGTCTTGTCACAATTATTATATACTTATGAAAGCCCTAAGCGTATCTATTCAAAAGTTAAAACTTTTTAAATGTAGGTAAACTCCAAGGTCACAAGCAAATTCAAAGAATTTAAGCCCCCTGCTTTAAATGTCTTTGTGGGTGAAATCACTGAGGTACAATTTTATTATTATATATTGTGTCAAATATGAACGCCCTATCATATGTCATTCAGAAGTCGTCACCGAAGTTGATGTTTTTGCAAATTACGTAAATCGTGAAGATCAAGGTCAAGGGGTCAGAAATCATAGCATGTTTGGAAATATCTTGTGAAAGGTGATGCTCATGTCAAATATGAAAGACCTATCCCTTCTCAATCAAAAGTTATAAAAAAAACTTAAAGGTGAAGGGGTAAACAATCTGGGTATTTGGAAAGGTCCATCGTCGAAAACCCACGGCTGATTACGCTTCGTTCCTCTCTCCAGTGATGGAGAGAAGAAAGAAGCGTAATCAGCAGTGGGTTTCTGACGATGAGAAAGGTCTTATCACAAATAATATACATATGTAATGTGAAAGTCCTATCTCTTCTCATTCAAAATATATGACCAAGATTAAAGTTTTTGAAAAGTAGGTCAAACTTCAAGGTCATGGGGTCATAAAATATAGAATATAGTGTATTTAACAAGGCCTTGTCACAGGCAATACGCAGCTTCAATATGATAGCCCTATCTCTTCTCATTCAATAGTCATGACCAAGGTTAAAGTTTTTAAAAAGTATATCAAATTACAATTTCAAGGTCACGAGGTCAAAACTCATAGTGTTTTTAGAAAGGTCTTGTCACAAGTAATATAAATGTTTAATTTTAAAGCCTCATTTCTCCTAAAAATTTGTGGCCAATTCAAAGTAATGTTAAATTTTTTTTAAATAAGTCAAACTTCAAGTTCACGGTCACAGGATAAAAAAAATCATAGTGTATTTAGAAAGGTCTTGTCACAGGTAATACACATGAATAATATGAAAGTCCTATCTTTTTCCATCCAAAAGATTAATGTTTTGTGGACAGACAGACAAACAGACGAATGAGATTTAATGTCCCCTTGTTTTCGCGAAAGCGGGGAACAAAACGGTTAAAGTTGTTGGTATCCAATGGAAGGTCTTGACACAAGGATTACATATGTGAAGTATGAAAGCCCTAGACCCAACCGCTCAAAAATTATCGCCAAGGAAAAAGTCTTTTGAAAGTAGGTGAAACTCCAAGGTAAAGTTAAAAGGGTCAAAGTTGTTGGTATCTAAAGGAAGGTATTGTCACAATTATAATATGTGACTTATGAAAGCCCTATCTCTATCTTCTCAAAAGTTATGGCCAAAGTTCAAGTTTTTAGAGTAGGTTAAACTCCAAGGTTAAAGTTGATGGTATCAAATGGAAGGTCTCAACACAAGAATTACATATGTGAAGTATGAAAGCCCTAGGCCCAACTGTTCAAAAGTTATGTCCAAGGTTCAAGTTGGTGAAAATTTTGCAAAACTGCGTCATACTCCAAGGTCAAAGTCAAATTTGATGGTACTAAAAAACGGTCTTGTCACAGGGAATACACATAGGATATAAGAAAACCATAGTATCAATCAATCAAAAGATATGGGAAAAATTAAAGATTTTGCGAACAATCAGATTATGAGACCAGCGCCCAAAAATCTTTTATCTTCGGGGCATAAAAACCGATTGGAAATAAAATCTTAATTAACGTCTACTGATATACATGTATATGTTAACGATTCCTACAGAGAATTGAATCAACAATTATTTATATTTACAACATTTCATACCTGGGGTTTGTAAGCAGTGCTTTGGAGATCAATGACATACTGTAGAATCAATTCGTCAAGACAAATCGTCCCTCCAGGGGCCACGTGAGTCTTACCACTGATTTTACAGGAATAACTAAAAAAATTAGAAAATGAAATCAAATTAAAAAAAATAATTATATATATAAATAATAATATAATAAATAATCTTTTTGACTAATTGATTTACACACACAAAAAAAAATTGAAAAAAATTATTGCCTGAAGTCACCGCTTCAGGCACTACTAAGGATCAACATTTCCTTAGTGCGAAGCTAAGAGGTCACAGTTAGCCAGAAAAATTTTGTGCATGCTGATTATCATCGGATTTTATTACCTGCGTTTTAACAACAACAGTTAGCAGAAACCATATTACTATGGAACGCCATCACTGCCTTATAGCATACAACTATGCATTTATTATGTCAATTTACCATTACGTGATGTGAACATATCTTTACGTTATGTCCATTTTTTATGAGATGATGTAAATATATCTTAACATCATGTCAATGCTGCATTACAGGAAGTAAATACATCCTTTCATTATGTCAGCACTTCATAACTTGAAGTAAAAAATTCATTATGTGAAGTGATAATGTGTTTACATTGTGTTAAAACTTTATTGCGTGAAATGAATTTTTCTTTACATCATTTCATTTCTTTAATATGTGAGGTCAAAATTGTATTACGTCAAGTAAATTGTGTTTTATAATTAAACTTATCATTACATTAAGTCAAAAGCCCATTCCTTTTTGAGAGTGTATATTTCTATTATATCAAAGCATTATTACGTGATATGATTTATCTTTATTATACAGCGAGGGTATCATGATGTGAGGTGAACACATCTTACCTTTATGTCAGTGCTTTATTACGTGGTGTAAAATGTGTATAACATAATGTGAACATATCTTTATATTATATCAATACTTTATTACATTATGTCAAAACTCCATTCTGTGATGTGGATATATAATTACGTTATGTCAACTCTTTCTTATGTGATTTAAAAATATCTTTATATTGTGTTAATTCTTTATCATGTTGATTCCAAAAGTTCATTACCTGATGTTAAAAAACATTTACATTATCTCAAAGCTGTACATGTATATCTAGTATATAATGAATGTTGATGACAGTGTTTTAATGACTGGTAAGAAGGGGGGGGGGTCCTGATTGATTAGGACAGATTACAGGCACATAATATCAACCCCCCTCTTTTCCCAGACATAACTTTACTATAGAAAATGCAATGTTCATTGAAACAGTACAGCCCCCATCCCCACTTTTTGTTGAAGTATAATCCACTATGGGTAATGTAATATATCTGGAAAAAAATAGGACTGACCGAAGTTGGACCCCTCTCCCCGAAAAAGGATTTCCGGGCTTGGACATTTTCTTTTTCTTGGCTTGTCAAGTTTTTTCGGGTAAATGATTTTTTTTCTGGCTGACCTCCTCTTTCAAAAAAAGATGCTACGTCATTGGGGTTAGTAATTTTTTGTAATCATTCAAGAGCCAGAGAATTCTATTACAAAAGTCTACCAGTCGCTCATCTAAATCAATTGAATATGCCTTAGTAGGCATGCATGGGCACATATCAGTGGCGGATATGGGAATCTTGAACAAGGAAGGGTGACGGTATATGGTTGGAGACCAAGGGGGAAAGCGGAGAAGCTCTCAGGCTTTATAGTTTCATAGAAAAAAGTTTTCAACATAATTCCGCTAAGCTTATATTGTGAAACTAATGCAATGTCCTACAAAGTTTTAGACTTTTATTTTAAAAAAATTCCAAATAAAAAGAAAAAAAATGATTGCTGCACGACTCCTAATATTTGATTTATTTAAATATGAGATTAAAGTAAACACCCTTGAATTTCGACGTGACTTTAATTCACAGTCGCAGTGTTAAGGCTTTGCACGTTTCAAGTTTGTCAATTATTTGTCGCTTAAAGTTTTCATTTAAAGATGTCATTCCCAAATCGCTGAGAATCACTTCTATACGACAGTTTTCTCTCCCGCCATTTTTTGCGCTTGCGGAACGCGGAAATAACGCTATGCTCATATAAAGGCCGAGGATACCCGTGTTCGCATAATGTAATAGTGAATCGACATAATGTAGAAGAGTGCGCACAGTATGGCATAAGCTTTTCACATCAGTTAATAAAAACTAAGATCAGATGAAAAGTAGACACAACGAAATGCAAGTTGACGAAATATAATTGTACTATGTGTAAATATCATAAAGAGTTGACATCATGTAATGCAAGGTTGACACAATGCAATAGTAATGTGGGTTAATGTCATAAAGAGTTGACATCATGTAATGCAAAGTTGACACAATGCAATAGTATTGTGAGTAAATGTCATAAAGAGTTGACATCATGTAACGGAAGGTTGACACAATGCAATGGTAGGGTGGGTTAATGTCCTAAAGAGTTGACATAATGTAATGGAAGGTTGAAACAATACAATATTAGTGTTCTGCTATAAGGCAGTGACGGCGTTCCATATATTACTGATTCAATACATTGATGTATTTATTTCCTTTATTTTTTTGCATGCAGTTATATTTATTTCATGCGAGTTCCTATACGTTCAAGTCCGTTTGACCTTTTTTCTGCGTTTCTGTACTACAGGATTAGTCCATTTGTATTCTAGGTAAGGAGTGACACAGGTCAAGAGATCACGTGTAAGTTTTGGCGCACTTTTCCTGGACTAAACTGCATGAATTACCGGTATATAAAGTTTGTTCTTTTTTGTCGGAATCTTGATCCTTGCAAGAGGTTTGGAAAAAACATATCGGTGATATTGTGAGTTATAAATGTACATCTGATCATATCCCCCCTCCAGGGGTCTCCTCCTTCAAAAACAGAGTACAAACTTAGCAGAGTGCCCCCAATCATTTCAGGATTGAAGAAGTTTCTGACATTTTTGCTCGTACAAATATTTTTGATGTGGAACCCCCCCCCCCCATCCTCGGGAAAAAAACTTCCTGAATCCGCGCCTGTGGCCATTTATACAAGTTTGTTGGATCATTTATGTATAACGGGTTTTATTTATCCCACGTTTCCAACAATCATTGATGCTCTGGCATACCCAAGAAGCTAGTAAACAATTTCTGCATGTCAGTCATAATCGTTACGATTCCCATTTTCTTGCATGTAGCACAGGTGCTCTTGGACAGGATTGTCCCTACAGCCCCTACCCTTTTTAAAATTGAATTAAAAAAATCAGATTTTTTTCATTTCTTATCTTTATCTATATTTGTCTATTTGAAAATCACAGTAATATATTAATCATAACCTTTTTTTCTACTCACAGTCGTTTCACGTATATACATAAAGAGAGTGAGAAGCATATACAACTTAAAATGAATGCATGATGTTTTGTGCAACATCTTCATAATTTGCTCTAGTGAAATAATTTAATCCTACCTTCCCCCAATGTAAACGTTTATAGCTATCATGCGTATAGGTTCTATAGATATTGATAGGATTAGTCAGGCAAGCTTTCTGAAAAGTTATTACTTGTACAAGTATTTCATAATGAATAAGAATTTTTACGATGATCTTCTGGCTGGTCTCCCTTGACAAGCGTCCTGTATATTCTGCAGAGCGTTTGCGCCATCATCTGGCGGGTTTTCTCTTACATGTGTGCTGTATAGTATCAAGTTGTTTAATTCATGAGCTTCAAGGATTTGGCAGGACAAATTTTTGGCAATTTCACTGCATTCTGGATCAAAAGCCATGAAAAATAAATTAAAACAGAAATAGACGGACAACCTATAGCTATTCATTAATTGTAATGTTTGTAAGTATTTTTTTGGACTTACAATATATGTATAGCTTGTCTTTTCAGATCTGTATAAAAGTCCCTAGTTTAGTGAAACAGTCACTTTTAGACAGGGCTTAAACTTGATACACCTTAGAAATATTGTTTTGTAAAGTACTATTTAGGCAAGACAGGAGGGAAAAGTTTTCTACCGAATATGGAAAACATTCCTTGATTCTCTATTTAAGACATTATATAACATAATGATACCTGTTTGCATAGAAAATGAGTATGAGAGACACTGTGGATCATTGCAGCCAATGACATGGGTAACTTTTACGGTCTTTCCTTCTTTGAATGTCAGCGTGGTTACGTTTCCCTGAACAATTCTCTCCTTTAGATCGTCTATCGTTTCTAAAATCAGTGTTTCATTCTTTGATTCAGAGTACAGATAGATCCGTAATGGAATCGAGTCCCCGTTTGATGGAAGTATTGCTGGGCCTACTGTTTTATATTTCACACCGGAATCTGACCACTGAAATGATTGGGAGAGTGTCTCGGCAAGTTTCTCAGCCACCGTATCCCAGTCATCTGTATCATAGTTTTCAACATAAAACAAGAGCTGCTTTGCCCAACTAGGAACATACGTTGTCATTAAGCATCTTTTAAGTCCGGTGAAGACACCTCCAACAAAACCGTCTATTTGGAAGATGTCATCCCAAGATAACTCGCAGAAAAGATTGTCCACCAAAGGGTCTGTGAGGCAGTAATTTGTTGACGACTCTACAGTGGAGTTCACTTTTTCGCAATCGGCTTCAACCTGTGGATAGAGCAAATGAACTAAATCATTTTGCATGCATTTTATGACACCTTTAACCCACGCCTTGCCGTTTTCCGAGATGTTCTTGCTACTGTTCTTCAGTTCTTGGCATGTATTACCGGCCTCCGTTACTGCTGGACAAGACTTCCTCTTTGCCAAACATTCAAAAAACCAAGAGCAGTCTCCAGATGGAAAATAACAGTTTATATCAAGCGTATCAGTGTTGTCCACATTTGTAGAATTTTGATCACATTGACAAGCAGACAGACCGCCATGGCTTGCTGTTGCCGAACATTGATACCAGCAATATTTCGTTCTAGACCCCCAGCATGTCAAATGTCTACCCGTGGAGCGCTCGATCTTCTGCTTAAGCATACAAACAGCTGCCTGGAATTTGGAGTATTTAGGGGAATAAACACATCCTGTATTTCCTGTCGGTCCTTCAGTTTTATCACAATCCGAGAATACCTGATTGAAAACCAGTATTAGACAGAAAATCGAAAGAAGAAGATGGGAACACATATTTCTGGCTTACATTGTCTTTCAACTAAATGGATGGGGTAGAATTTTTTTAACTTCCGTGTACTAGCTCTCCTTTTAATCCCTTAAATACTATTTTTCTACCTGCCATTCATAATGGTCTTTTTAAATGTCAATTTTTTTGAGCTGATTTGCAAACATTGATTTTAAATTTTCGTTCCGGTTTAACGAACGAATTCAGTATTGAATCATGTTTATTTAATTGAATGTAAGACCTGATATTTGGTCAGAGCACTTTAACAACCGTCGCAGCAGACTTTTTGTTATTCCGAGAAGTTTATTGAACAAAAATAATATTAAAGGTCTTTTCGGGTGACAACTTTATACAACAGCACAAACAATACACTTAGAGATTTATACTAAATTGTAGTAGTAATTCATAGACAAAGAAAACTGAAGCAATTTTTTAAAATTAATTTATTTTTTACTTTTTTAACATATGATGCAGCTGTTCAAGTTTACACCTATCCAAAACTCATTTCATTTTCCATCACATGAATATTCATTGGAATAGGTCCATGACTTGAATAAACTTGTATGTATAATTGTATTGAAGTTATCATCAAACTTTGTTAATTGTACTTGTTCTATGTTAAATCAAGTGTGATACGTTCTAAACAAACAAATGAAAACAAACTTCATTCGAAATACTTACACTTTTATATTGTTTTTTTTAAATAAAGGAGGGAGATAGTTTCATCCCACCGAAGGGGTTATAAAATTTGATCACGTGACCGACCTCATGTCATATCCCAATGAAACTCTAAAAATGATATCTTGTTTCTTAAATAACCACATTTCAAGAGGATCAATACATGTATCCTTATATATTTGGATAGAAGTTCCGTAGCTTATCAATTAGAGTAACAGTTCAAACACCAGAAAAGTAACAGTTTAAAAATGTTCATCCATACATTTTACCATTACAGATTTACGATTTAGATCCACATTTATTAGGTTCCTCAATTCTTGCACCAAAAAATGAGTCACCATGGCTACAATTTTATTCTTTGTGCTCATTTCTGGACAGCACAATCTACAAAACTTTTAAACTCAACAATGTACAAATCGTAAAAAAAATTGTCTTCGATACACTGGTAGCTGATATACTAGTATGCATTTTACAAAAGCTGTCATTGATATGCCCTTTTCAAATGAAGAAATATCACTTTAAAATGATCTTCGTCTGTCTCGAAACGTTTTCAGGACGTCTTGTAAATCATGACCGCGGTGTTTCTCTGACGTAATACACGTGATGCAAATGGGATCGTCACAATCTTTACAATACAGTTCACATCGTTTGTTATCATGAGAGGAGCATGCTGGGTATTGGTGGATGAAGCCGGGAAATCTGGAGATGCTGTGTTTCTCGTCTACCTTTGACTCCAGGTGTTTCTGAACACATCCCCTACATAGGTTGACGAGGCAGGTCTCACACTGCATGGCCACGTCCTCATACTCACATACGTCACACTCCACGTCTTCTGACGCCACACTGAGCTGCCATTCCTCATCGTCACTGGAGTCACTCATCTCTATCGCCGTCACACACTGTAAGATACCTTAACACATTAAACATCCAACGTGCCGTCACCAGGTTATTGTTATTTCCCTACATGAACTGACTGTTGTCTGTTTCTAATTGTGTACATGTTTTAATAAGTTCAATAATGATTTGTTTTTTAAATATAAAAGATAATACATTGTACTAGATAATTATATTAACGCTCGTTGCCTGAAAATATTACGTATGTTTGTGAAACACTCATTTTCTCTGATTATTGACTCTAAACTGTACACATTTTGTTTGATAAATCATTTTTTTTTTATTTCCAATGAGCAAATGTGGTCATCTACATCGAATTTCTAGAGTATTTAATTGAGACAAATCTTAAAGATTGATGTGGTTTTAGGAGTTATTGGTAAAGATCAATATGAAACCTAGAATTCTACCTACCTTCTGTGGAAAAATGGCGATCGTCTAAAACGTTTACCTAACTCTGTTTGGTTTAAATACCACACTCTTCAAGTACAAACTTGTCATTCATAATCAATACTAAAACGCCAGCTAATATGAATGAATTTTACTGACACTGTTTAGGTTGTTTATACAAATTATATTATTCTGGTCACTTTTTACAAAGAATCTTACGACTTATATCACTAAATTCCCCCTTGCTACAAAAAATATCTAGGCTACGAAAATCTTGTCTAAATTACATTAATTCATTATATTAATACACTGTATTTTTGTAATTAAATTGAATTTTCAAAATTATCTAGAAAAAATATCCTTAATATTAAAGAGTGTGGAAATATTAGTCTTAGTCGTAAGAGTTTTTGTGAAAAAAGGGCCACCGAGAGCCGCAGTTCTACATTTGTATAACTGCCTGAAGAGCCGAACATGGCGAAAGCGCTTGCAGTAAATGTTTTGTGATATTTTTGGATTTTTACTTTTAAATATACCAAAAACTGTACCGATGTATATATATGCCTGAAGAGCCGAACATGGCGAAATATATATATATATATATATATATATATATATATATATATATATATATATATATATATATATATATATATATATATATATATATATACATATATTTCAAAACGCCAGTTAAATTATCCGACCCATAAAAGAGCATGATTATCCACCCTATAATAAATTCTCTGAAACTAATTCAATGCAGTTTGGAGTAGAAAAGAATTTACCAGAAATGAAAAAAAAAACCATGTGATTAACCGAGCAGTACTTAATAAATTAAGAATGCATTGAGGTCTACGGGAACAAACAATTTTTTTTAAAAATAAAAAATCAATTACTATAAATATCAAAATATGCTATGGTGAAAAGCTGTATAAAATTATTAAGAACAGAAAAACGATTAAGAATAATTTTTCACCGGAGAGTTTTTTTTAAAAATGAATTCTTAAAATTAAAAGTGAATGGGGATAATTCTTTAAGGATTGGTCAAGGTAAAAAATTAGGACACGTTCCGCTGTTATATATCAAAACTAAAGCATATGAAGATAACGTCTATAAATAAGGTAAATTTAGACAATACAATAATATATCTCTTATGTATTCAGATACATTGAATCTGAGGCTATTGTGGATCTAATCTCTATTGAGACTCTATTGGGCTAGATATTGGGCGTCAGCCCAAAAGAACTTCGAGATCATTATGGATCTGATACCTTAAGTAATAGTTTCACAAGCAGGAAGCCCTTTACCCACTTTTTCATGAAGTAAAGTCAAGTCAAAAGGGGAATGTAGAAGTGTATGAAAACATAGTGTGGAATCCGCTAAGCGCTTTTTTGCTTGCTTGTCAAGGTTTTTTTTGTATGTAAGATGATTTTTTTCATGGGTGCCCCTCTCCCATTTCAAAAACGATAAGTCCCTTTTTCAGAACGTTTAATCTTTTATTAATACTACAGATTTATTGTTAACAACCAAATTCATCAGATGAAACGCAAGGATATAAACAACAGTATTCAAGATCAAAAGTCTACAAAACGATGCAAAATAGAAGCACAGCAAACACGGACTTCCAAAACATCAGAAGTGGGGTCAGGTGCCATGGACTGTGGGCATCCCCTGCTGACCGGTCACACCCGCCGTGTGATCGGGAAATAACGGAAAAAATCCGTCTTCAATTCAGTGTATAAACATGGACTAACAATAGTACGGAAAATGTCAGTCAGCATTTGATAAATAGTTACTTCAATTCTTGCGCAATAAATATGTCACTTTGACTAAAATTGGGTGCTGTAAACAGGGAAATTTTCGCCCCCGTTTTATTTTCGACCCTTTCGCCCTCTTCTTGTTTGGGCGAAATTAAAACGGGGCGAATTTAAATTACATAGCATAGATTCCTAAACAAAATTATGAATGGGCGAATTTAAAACGGGACAAAAATGTTCGAAAGTGCAAAAGGGCGAAAATAAGACGGGGCGAAAATAATCTGTATACAGTATTGCATATCTCTGGAAAGCACATCATAGCATCTACAAAGCTTTAAAACTTCAACAATATACATAAAAATATAGTCTCTATACATTACTGCACTTTACTAAAGTTATAATTGGTATAAAACCCTTCAAACGAAAGAGCTTTCTCTTTAAAATGATCTTTCTCTTTCCAAAAACGTTTCCAGGACGTCTTGTAAATCATGACCGCGGTGTTTCTCTGACGTAATACACGTGACACAAATGGGATCGTCACAATCTTTACAATACAGCTCACACCGTCTCTTGTCGTGAGAGGAGCATGCTGGGTATTTTTGGATGAAGCCGGGAAATCTGGAGATGCTGTGTTTTTCGTCCTCCTTTGACTTGAGATGTTTCTGGACACATCCCTCACACATGTTAACGAGGCAGGTCTCACACTGCATTTCCGTGTCCTCAATCTTGCACACGTCACACCAGACGTCCTCTTCAGCCGCGCTGTACTCCCACGACTTATTGTCACTGTCCGAGTCACTCATCTCTGTCGCCATTACCTACTGAGGAAAATAATAAAGCTTACTGCACCTGATGTTACATGTTCAGATTTAAGACTTGCACAGTCATCAAGTATTTGTTACATTGATCGTTGTCCGTTTATAATAGTAGTATGTTGTGCATTTTTATCCAGTTCAATAGTGATTTGTATTTGAATAAAAAAAAATCATTAGATCTATGTAATAATTAGATATCTGAGCAAAAATTTCAATTACCCGAAAATAGTATTTTAGTAACACATATTTTAAACACGCTTTCCGTGCTTATTGATTTTAAAAATCATTCGTGACACAAACAGCATATATTTGTTGGACCAATTTATACCATTATCAATGAGTGAATTATTCATCCTTTTGAGATTTATATCATACTCATTTGAAATCTCATGCTAGCTGCATGGAAAAAAACAAATCCTCAACATTGATGTGTGTTTGTGGGATATTGCTAATGATCAATTTGAAATATAGAATTCTTCTTACCTTCTGTAGAATAATGGCGATCGTCTAAAACGGTTATCTAACTCTGGTTGGTTTATTTAAATACCGCACTCTTCAAGTGCAAACAAGTCATATGTATGCGGCTAGCTAATGTAAGACGATTCGCTGACAATGTTTAAGGTTTCATATCAAAGATCAACATGGCCAAAAATTTAAATTTACAAAATCTCCAAAACTATGTGGTTTATAAAGTTGAAACTTTTTCAGCTTATAAACATATCGTTGATTAACAGATAGAAAGTATCATTTGATAACAAATACTGAATAAAAATACTTATCGAAAAAAATTCTTTTTAAAAAAAATGCCTATATTTTTTTTAATAAAAACACCTAATTAATTATGTGCTTTCCGTGAAAGCCGTACTGCGTCACTGCAGAAAAAATATATACATTAGATGTCATGTACATGTAATTCAATAAAGGCCAAGTTGGACTTCTATGGTGGCATATTTCTGCCCCCTACATGCAAGATAAATTATGTTAACATGCAACATTTTTATGTCAACATACAAGTTAATTATGTTGACATGCAAGTTACCAATCTTATAAGAAAATATAATTTAAATATGGGTAAATTTTAGGGATGGCAATTCGATTCATAACCGGTTAATCGGTTGGAACGATGCTAATCGGTTAGAAAATCCGTAGTCGATTAGTCGAAAAAAATAAAATATATATAAATTTGAACGCAGTTTCCTTAAAATTCCTTCTTTTTTAAGAAAGGAAACCTCTGTATATATTTTTCTTTAGTATTTTTACACTTCTTATTGAGAAATTTGGGAGGTAATTATAGCTCTCCAGAGATCGCAGGGGTAATTGGTCAATTCGTAAAGTGTTAATTACTGTTTTTGAAACATTATAGTATTAGAAAGAACGTTGTAAATCAAAAAATAAAGTGAGAGTTCAGACATAGTTTAGATTATGGTGACATTGCAGAGTTAACTACTTTAACATCTGCATTGGAAAATTATCCCTGTCTGATTTTTCAAGCAAGATTCATGGTTGTCTTAATTATAATTTCTTGTCTATTGAAATAAGATAAAATATACTCTTATGAACTTGAAATTCCCCGATCAAAATATGAACAGAATAACTTTTAACGTCTTTTTTAGCCATCTTGTTTATATGAAAAGAAAATGTCAAAGTGTATATCTTGATACGACTAACCGGTTAATCGGTCGGAACGTTTTGCGGCTAACCGATTAGCAATTCTGCAATCGATTGCCATCCCTAGTAAATTTACTTACCAACGCCTGTATCTGACATTTAAGATGCAATATAATTATGTAGACATGCGACTTTTTTTGTGTCAGTATGTCTTCATAATTATGTCAACATGCAAGATATGTAAGTTGACATGCAAGTTATTATCTTGCATGTTGACATAAATAAGTTGCATGTGAACATAAATAAGCTGCACGTCTACATAATATCTCGCATGTTATATAACATAAGTATCTAGCATGCTGACATAAGTATCTAGCATGTTGACATAAATAAGTTGCATGTCTACATAATTAACTAGCATGTTGACATAAATATCTTGCATGTGTTCATGATTAACTCGCATGTTGACATAGATATCTTGCATGTCTACATAATTATCTCGCATGTTAACACACGTAAATCGCATCTTCTCATAATTATATTGCTTCTTGCATCTACGATGTCAGATACGGGCGTCAGCAAGGGATTTTACCCATATTAAAATCAGATTCCCTTATTTAAAAGATTTTAAACTTGCGTGTCAACATAATTATCCTGCATGTATATATAGCGTTTCTCTATATTATCTACTGTTACTCTAGTGATGGCGGAACAAAGAACACACTATGGTAAAATAATCCGCTATTTATTAGTGCCCACAGTTATAATATACAATATACAATAATGGCGGAGCTGACAGAGACACGTCCATTCTCTGCAGCAATACAACAGAAAAGAGAGCGAGGATAGGTATACGTCACGACAGGTGCTGTGACGTATGCCATGTGATTGGAGGTAGCAAGGTAATTCGTGCCCAGTACATCCAGAACCACCACATTCCTCCCCATTTTGAAAATGGGCGTCCCCTGCCCGTTACAACAGGACAAACTATAATATACATCAAAATACAAAATTAAATCTTAGCGGGGCTTAACATATTTAAATTAATTACACATAATCATTGACACATTTACATAGATAAACAAGCAAGCATATAATATTACAATATCAATATTACATGTATTTAAACATAACTGTCCATAATACAAATTATAAAATTAAAAGAAACGAACAGTTAATATCACAGATCACAGAATCTCACGTCCGTCCCTGATCCTGGGCGCCTCTCGTCCGAGTCTTCTCGGGTCCACCACTGGGTCCTTCGGGGTCTTCCTCGTCAGGTGGTTCCACGGTGACTTTTCCGGTCGGCATCTCCAGATCCGGACATCCGGGCCCAGGACAGACATGATGTCTAGCAAGACATCACGTCCACGACTCCGTCGCGAACGCTCAATCCCGGAACTGGCTCCAACGGATCCTCCTTGGAACATCAATGTTAATTAAGGAATCAGGAACATCAAGGATCGACCATAAGATCAGGGAAATATCCCTGAATAATTTAGGGATCTGCTTCCCTAACAGTAAGAACTAATATGTACAATCCAGCTAAATATAGCTGCACATGACTCCGCATCCCTCGACGGGACTGCATTCGGGGCAGATATATTGAGGCACTGTCTTAGCATAATCCTCACTGATCCCCACACACCCAGGATGAAACCAATCCCGACAGCTGTCGCACTGCATCATTAACCCCTTAGGATTTTACTGTAAACAGACACAATACTGCCGGGTTTTAGTCCCCTTAGTGGCTTTAGGTCGTTTAGGTGATTTGGACTTCTCTGATTGTTCTGCCCTTTCCCGTATCCGTTTCCGGGTTCCATATAAGGACCTACTGTTTCCACTGGTTTAGGGCTGACTATAGCTTTATTCCCACTCTCAGGATCCGCAGGACTTAATCCTGAGTCCGCGGTCCCTAGCGGCCTAACCACGTCGCGCACAGGAGAACTATCCCCATCTCGGTCTACTGAAAGTCCGGGCAACTTATCCTGATAGTTAACTAACCACTTAGGAATTTGCCTGGCCTCGCACTTCTTAAGCTTGTCATGGTGCATGACCTTGACCTCGCGCCGAGATTTGACTACAAATATTGTGTCCGACTTGGCTTCAATTATGACCCCAGGACCCTTCCAAACTGATTCTACCTTTTTCCCGCATTGCGGCGCCAGTATACCTAATTTCCGACCTTGAACTTGCTGGTACGGATCGTAATGTCATGCGACCTTTTCATTGCCTTCTGTGCGACTTTAAGTTTCTTCCTGGCAATGTCGTGCGCGCTCTGAATTTTTTCTTCCAGATCTCGTACATATCTGTCCACCTCACCCTCCTCCCCATTTTGAAAAGACGTGGAAGACGGTGGAGCGAACATCAAGGTTGCTGGTATATTTACTTCACGGCCCAGCAACAAAATCAAGTTGGGAAAAGGGTAAAAACCCATTTAACCTTTATACAAAAAGAATCTATGATGAATTAAGGAATTTATACAGTATTATAAATCTAGAATATTCTAGAATTTTAAGACATAAATTTTAGGGAAAAGCGGGACATACAAAAAGAGGAATGTTCTAAAAATACCAACAGTTGACCACTTAATGTTCAAAAACTTAAGACTAATAATAGACATGATAAACAATACAAATACAACACACCTCACAACACCTCCCCCCTTAAAGTTTGAATGTCAATGAAAAACTTAAATTGTAAAACTTTTGACTTTAATAAAAAATTTTTTTATGATATTTGGACAAGGCATCTGCAATAATATTGTCTTTGCCTTTATATCTTAATTGTTATGTTTTTTTTGAAACAAAAATCCTTAGTAGCTTTGATTCTTGTTTGACAATTTATGCAAAAATTGGGGGTTGTGATCCGTTATACAAGAATTGGATGCAAAAACATTCAAATAAACATCAAAATGCTGTAAAGCTAACAACAAAGCAAGGCATTTTTTTTAATGGGGGAATTTTTGTTGAATTTTGTAAGTTTTTTAAAAAATAAGAAACAACTCTATCTACCTTATCACTATTTTTTAAAAAGCGCCCCGATTCCAACATCACTAGCGTCAACAGTAAGCTTAAATTGCTTAAAAAATTGGGAGTTGCAAACTGGGTTGCTCATAAGGACAGATTTGATTTTATGAAATGATTTTTCACAGTCCTTTGTCCATTAAAAGTTTTTTTGTAAAAGATTTGAAGTGGACAAATACTGGGGAAAAATTGGACAAAATTTTCTGTAAAACCCAGCCATCCCCAAAAAACCCCCTTTTTTTCTTTTTGTAGGAATGGGAACTTTGCAATTTTCCCCTTTCCATAATTGGTGAACATAACCTTGACCTCTTTATGACCAAATCCCACATAAGCATGACAAAATTCGCTCTTCTCAAGATTCACAGTTAAATTGTCAAACAAAGCACGCATGATTGGAAGTTCTCCCATGTGCGCTGTATATGCCCACATCTGAGGCCCCCCATCCCTCAGGTCTTGAAGGAGGGAGTGAATCATCCTTTGGAATGTACCCGGGTGGTTTTTCATGCCAAAAGGCATTACTTTATACTGATAAAGTCCTTGGTGTAGCAAAAGCAGATATTTCTTTTGCTTTTCTGTTAACGGCACTTGCCAGTAGCCTTTAACATAAATTTACTACTTTGGGTTTAATGCTGTCAATACAGTCATCAATTCTGGGTATTGGATATGAATCATTTTTTAAAAATTTCCCCTTTTCTAAAGTCTGTACATAATCGGAAAACCCTTTTTTTGGTACAAGAATACACGGTGAGCTCCAATTACTTTTATGGGAAAATGCTTTTAACAATCTCACTTCCCTTCTTAGGCTGCAATTTTATTGGTTTGAGGGTAGGATGTTGTTTGATAGGCAGAGCGTCCCAACTATAACACCATGACAAGCTGCATTATTTTTTTTGGAAACATCCAAAGATTTGATGAACCATTCATCAATTT